GAAAGAGAAGCATGGGCACAGAGTTGGGTGACTTACGCTTCCCCCAGTTAACAGTCTGCCTTGGACTTTTCCATGTCAGTTTTTGAAGCTCTAATAACCTCTTTCTTTGAGGAGCTGGACACTGTCCCATTGAGGAAAAGAATGATGACGTAGCAATTGTCTTGTGAACGGCCATTTGGGTTCTTATGTCCTTGCCCACCCTCTCCCCATCCCACCTTGTTCCCTCAGGAAATTTGCAGGTGGTGTAGTGAGGCTGTAACAGATCCCCTTATCTCATAAATCCCTCTTTGGTGGCGCATCAAGAAGGGGTGGTGCTTATTTAGCATAAAGTGGCATGTCACCGCACTGCTGTCCTGTCTGATCAGGAAGAGGAAGCCGCCAGGAGGGCTTATAGGAAACCCTGCACAGCCTGTCCCTCAGAAACTCGGACACTGGTGGGTTTGTGACTGTGCAAAATACACATCCCTGAGATAACCACATCCCAAGGGGGCGAGTTTTCTCATTTACATCTGACAGGTACTTTTCCCCTGAAGTTGCTTCTCCTCAAATTGCAGCTTCCTCTGTATGTTAAAAAGCACCAGTTCCTCATAGTGTGTGCTGGTGGGGAGTGGTCCTGTGCCAGCCCCCTTTGCTCAGACCCCCGCAGTGTATGTGTGTGTGGGTCCTGTGCTGCTCCCTTGCTCAGTCCTTCTGTGTGTGTGTGTGTGTGTGTGTGTGTATGGGCACAGATGCAAGGTGTGTCCTATGTCTTGCCTCCTCTCTTGCAGCCACACTGGCCTTCTCGTCACTTCTGTTCTTCAAAGACATCAAGCCCATCCCGAAACCTCTGAGCATGTTCTTCCTTCTTCTTACTCTTATTTTACAAGCCTCTGTGCTGCTCTTTTATCTTCATGGTGATCTCTCCTGTTTACCCCATCTACAGAGCACTCCCCTATGTGCCTCGGCTCTAGCCTGCCAGCTAGTTCTTCACTGAGTGCAAACTACTCTTTTAGGCTGAGTGAGTTATTTGGAGGGTGCTGGGTCTCAGTTCACTGCTGTGTTGCCGGCACCCAGTAGTACCTGACACACGGAAGTACTCATTAAAACTTACTGAGCTGGCCGGCACCGTGGCTCAATAGGCTAATCCTCCACCTAGCGGCGCCGGCACACTGGGTTCTAGTCCTGGTCAGGGCACCGGATTCTGTCCCGGTTGCCCCTCTTCCAGGCCAGCTCTCTGCTGTGGCCCGGGAAGGCAGTGGAGGATGGCCCAAGTGCTTGGGCCCTGCACCCCATGGGAGACCAGGATAAGTATCTGGCTCCTGCCTTCGGATCAGCACAGTGTGCCAGCCGTGGCGGCCATTGGAGGGTGAACCAACGGCAAAGGAAGACCTTTCTCTCTGTCTGTCTGTCTGTCTGTCTCTCTCTATCCACTCTGGTCATCTGGTTTTTATTTTTGTACCTTGTATCATCTGCCTCTTCCTTCCCACCTTCCTATGTGTTCACTTGACACACCCCCGACTGCCCCACCATGTCCTCACACCCGTGATGATGGTGTGTTCATGTATGCCCATACATATTCACAGCTCTTCCCTGGGGGAGGGGGAGGTCTCCAGCCAGCTCACCTTAAGGAAATCCCTCTCCTGAAGGAGAAAGGGGAGCAGTGGTTTCTGAACTGTTTCTTGGCTGCCTCCGGGCAGCCTCCAGGGTTTCCAGAGAGACCTGAGCAGCCCCCATCTTGAGCCTCACTGAGAGCATTTCTGTCTGGGATGTATGGATAGGAGTTTGTTTGCAGCATAGTTCCTCCTGACAAACAAAATGCTGGAACACTCTGAGTTAGAAGGGTCTCTCTGCCCTTTCAGAGAACCGTGGGAATCATCCTGTGGCCCTGAGAATGGAAGAGGCATGCACAGGCCGAGGGTGGGCGGTTCTGGGTGACCAGTTCTCATCCGGGGAGGCTGTCACTGTCTCTTGCCTTGAGCTTTCCATTTCAGGAGTTCTGGAGCCTGGGCTCTACTTGGCAGCGCACACGGTGCCCTTGGCTTTGGTGCCTCCTCACTTTCTCTCTTTCTGTTCCTCCTTTCTCCTTAGTGCTTCTGTTTGTGGCACAACGTTACTATGGAGACACTATGCTAATAGCTGCTTCTGGCACAGTGCATTTGGGGAAAGCTCCTCTGATTTCTTTTAACTAATTAGATTTCCTTTCAAGGCCTCAATTTTTGAGGCAATGGAAAATGTCTATTAAAATAAGACATAAACTTACCCAAGTCAGAATGAGAACAAATTTGTGAAATAGTTGAACTCTATCATTGAATGTATCTGAGAATTCTAAGCATAAGGAACTTTTTGATTCATACTTAGTGTTATGCAGGTAAAAAACAGTTTGTTGCTGAGTGAATGAACTTCACATTAAACACAGCTGGCCTAGATTCTAGACATGATTAAGATTATATTTACACAAAACCTTTGTATAATAGCATGACCCGTATTTTCTTGGTGCATTTCTAACTTCTGTATTAGTGGAAGCTATTTGAGATAGGAGGCTGCTGTGTTATTTTTCTTGAATATCATCCTTTAGCACCTTGATGACTTTTTGTAGATGTAGGCAGGAGTAACTGTGTGGGTGACAGGAACAAACCAGTGGAAAGGAACTCTAGTCAGAGGAGAAAGGCTGTGGGACTTGGCCGCTGGGCACAGGGAGAAGCAAAGTGTGCATGCAAAGGCAGCTGCCCAAAGAGGATGCGAAAGATGAAGGCAACAGCAGAAAAGTGCGGCAGATGTTTTGTGAAGGGAAAGCGCCCTTCTCCTAGTCAGAGAGGGGTGTGCTCTCATGTCCAGGGGGGCGTCTGAGTGCGTCCCTCCTCCCTTGAAGTCAATCCATTCTGTCATGGAGTGTCTTCAGTGTAATTTAAAATGAGTTTTTGTGGGGGAAGTTTGGATTTACTTTATAGGTGAAGTCGCTGAATTACATTTATGCTGTAAAACACAAGAGAACTTTTCCTAATTTAATATTGTCTTGGCAGCTCATCCTAGAATGCATTTCCTGCATGCGAGGGTTTCTTACATTCTTTAAATGAAAAGCATATTTTGATTGTTACTGGAACCATTAACAGAACGCTTCATGCAATAAATGGCTTAAGACAATATTCCTTACTGGGAGTTGTTTGCTGCTTTTATTCCTTTTGACTTTCAGCTATGGAAGGGATTGTACATTGTACATTTGGAAAGGCATAAAAATAATAGGATTCTATTAAGAAAATGGTGGTATTTGATATACTTGATGAGCAAAGGACTTTACATGCATAGCTTAACCAAATAATAAAAGAAACAATGCCGGGTTTATGTGGTATTTTCTCTCTCCCTAATCCTTTTTTTTTTTTAAATTAAGATTTATTTATTTATTTGAAAGGCAGAGTTAGAGAGGCAGAGAGCACTTTCCCTAAATTTTAAGCAATCATTGATTATATCTTAAATGCAAGTTTGGGAATCTGAGTAATTGTTAAAAAATAGGGGTGTTGGGCAAACATGCTGCCTACAAATGGATGCCTGGGTCCTGTTTAGATAGAAATACTTTTCTTACAGAACTTTCCTAACGGTCAGATAGAAACTTAAGTACTAAGGCAAAGTCATAAGAAATGAACCTTGCTAAACTAGGAATTGTTTTGGCTCAGTAACATCAAGGAAGCAGCTGTCAAAACAGCCTTTTCATTTCTTTGTGTGTGTGCTGTACGATCCTAGTTAATTCATTAATTTCTGCTAACTGCTGTAGAATGGACAAGAGTATTTTTGCTTCTCTGAGTCTCGTGCTTTATTAGCAACATCTCAAGGAAATAGCTTTACATGCTCTGCAGTGAGTAATTGTCTTTATCTGAATAGCAGGAATAGTTCTGTTCATGCCTTGAGTTGACATATTTTCAAGAAAAAATATTAGTCAAACATTTTAAAAAGTCATTTAAATCCTATAAAGTAATGTCAGTGTTTTAGGCTATAGAAAATTTGTCCCCAGAGAGTAATATTTTCAAACATTTGTTACTCATCTTAAAGTCAGTTCTCAACTGACTGAGGGAGTGAATCACTGGCTGTTTGCTGGAGCCTAGTTCATTAAAGATAATTCAGCTTATGCTAATTACATGGTAATTATTGTCATGTATATTCAAGGAAGAAGAAAATAATTACAAACTTTTCTCTGTTCTCAATGCTTGAGAGAAATAGAACCTTTGGATTGTTCCAGTCCTGCTCAAAGGCTTGTTCTAGGGTAGGGCCATAACACCAGTTTCAAAGGGATGCTTCCAGATTGCTCCACTGGGTCCTATTCATGACTTCATTCCCATTAGTAGGTTTTCTATCTAGGATATTACTGAGACTGAGCACAGACCATTCAACAAGCTTAAAAAGCCAATCCTCCTGACCTTTGGGGTATTTATAAATGAGCTAGTAGTGCTCTAATGCGCTTGTCCTCTGCAGAGACCTATTGCCTGATGAAATGGAGGATTCAAAGCAGTACTAATACATGTATCACATACCTAAACTTGAGACTCGAACCACAGAGCTTCGAAAGGAAAACATGGAGTAGCTTCCCAACCTTGGGTAGGCAGTGATTTCTTAGGATACAAAGTATACTAACCGGAAGAGGAAAAATTGAATAAATCACACTTTCTTAAAAATCCAACGTTTCCAGTTTTCATTAGTCATTAAGAAAATAAAGGCAAGCCATGGGTGGGAGGGAATGTTCTCAATTCATATCTCTGATAAAGGACTATTTAATTACAGAATTCTCAGACAACAATAAAAAGGCAGAGAACTCAATTTAAAAAATGGCCAGAATGAGCAGAAAATCATGAAAGAACATGTTTGATCAAAAGACATAAAAAGATGCTCAGTGTCATAAGTCAACTGGGAAATGCAATTTAAATCACAATGAAATAGTACTCAAAACCCATTAAAATGGTAAAAAAAAAAAAAAAAGAAAAATTAAGTAATGGAACCCTGACTGTTAAGAGTGACAAGAAAATGAGATAACTTACTTTAATATACTCTGGTTGGAGTGTAACGGTTTGGTAACTTCGTATCACGTTGAACTAGTCATTGCACTCCTTGGTGTTTACCCAAGGGAACTGAAAGCACATGCCCAATAAAAAGACTTTTATTAGACTGTTCATAGCATCTTCATTTGTAACAGCCCCAAATTGGGTGCAACCCAAATACTCATCAACCGATTAAAATAGGTAAACAAATTGTGCTATCTGCAAAGAATAGAATATCCCTCAGTGACTTAGAGGAATGGTACCTGCCAACAATTTGGATAAGCCTCAAAACATAGAGCAAAGACATTAGAGACAAAGGAACACACACTGTGTGATTTCATTTAAGGCAGCTCTAATAGAGGCATAAGAAGGCTGTAAAGACAGTTGTAGGTGTCTGAGTGGAAAGGAGCACGAGAGAATTTTTTAAGATTTATTTATTTGAGAGGCAGAGTTAGAGAAGGAGAGACAGTGAATCTTTTTTGATAAATTTTTTTAATCTTAATTGATGTAGTGATTGCATAGTGTCACACCTCACTGAATTATACATTTAATTTCTTTTTTTTTTTCATCTTATGTGTGTACTTTATACCTTTAAGTGGGGGAAAAATCAAAGTCACAACACAGATGAACATAGTTGAACATAGAGCAGATTGTAACTGACATGCAGATGGTGTGGTAGCTGAAGGGGTGGCAGGGAGTGTGTGCTGTGTGAGAGCCAAGAAAAGGAAATCAAAACAGGAGAGACTTTCTGGACAAGAGATGGTTTGTGTTGTATTTTGAAGGTACCAAGAGATAAATGTTATCAGGGATCAGAGGGAAAGTATACCAAATAGTGTCAAGCTCTCAACTTAAGATAAAAATAAAACAACATGAGTTTCCAGGTCAAGACATATTAATAGAAGTTGTTTCTCTACTTAGTGTATCATTTCCATTGATTGTTCATCCATCCATCTTTCCCATATATGTGTATCTTTTCTTTCAAAATTGGACTTAATTCTGCTTCTTCAGTACTCTACATACTCTCCATTTTCTGAATTCCAATTTTTAATATCCTAATGTAGCACTTAATTTTCCTAAGAATATGTCTTCTATTTTAAGTGTGTATCTTTTCAGAAAGGGTTTCCTAGGAAAAATAGTTTGTGCTAATTTGTCCGAAGTAAAATGTTAAGTCCACACTCACATGCTGGTTAATTAAAATCTGTGGATGGAAGTTTGATAGACATGCAGGATGGGGGATATCTGTTGGGGTATGAACTTGTTGCATTTGTGTATGTTGTTGATTCTTTTTAATGTATGAATGTTAATGATAATTTCTTGACAGCTATCTACCACATTATGATAACTTATTTATTCTTCTAGGTAGGTATTTTTAGTCTCTTCTTTTTACAAGTGTATAAACAGAGCAAGCAGTAGATAATTTGAATTTCTCTTTGCTTCCATTGTTCTTGGGAGTCATCAGACCACCTCACTGTGCTACTGAGAAAGAAGATGATATTGGTGCTGACAGCATTCATAGGTCATGCCACTCGCTCTTCTGGACTATTTATGTACATTAACTTATTTAGTCTCCATGATAACTCAGTGAGAAAAATGAAGCAGAGTCAGGAAGGGACTTATCTGAGGCTGTGTCAGAATAAGAGGTAGAGTCGGGATTTGAAACCTGATTGAAGAATGCATACTACTTGTGCTTGCAGGCTGAGTGCTCCTTATCCAAAATGCTTGGGACCAGAAATTCTTTGGACTTTGGAATATTTGCATGTATGTAATATGCCTTCTTGGGGACTGGACCCAGGTCTAAACAAGAAGTTCAGTTGTTCAGTTCTGTTTCATACACTTTTTCCACACATAGCCTGAGGGTAATTTTGTCCTGTATTTCTGGCATGCCTGTGCTTTGACTCCACCACTTAACATGAGATCAGATGTGGAATTTTCCACTTGGGGTGCTGTGTTGGTCTGCATGGATTTGGGAGCATTCTAGATTTTGGAGTTTTGGGTTAGGGTGTTAAGATGGCTCTGCATACCCAAGGGCTGGTCGTGCCCAGTGAGACCAGGTCATGTACGCTTTCTGAACTGGGGCAGAGGTGGGCATAGATGGAAACAAGTGATGCAGACTGTTGTTTCCAAGTCTTGTGTAGTTTGTGTCTTAAGTTTAGACCATCCTTAACATCTATCCATCCATCGGATGTTGGTTGAGAAACTTGGCCACGTCACTCGGCTAAGGCAGCCTGTGTTTTGGAGGCACTTTAGCAGCCAGGCCTGGGTCTGGATGCTTTCACTCATGTAGCTTTGCAAGTATTTCAACATTATCACCCTCCTTGAGCTAACATGAGAATGTGGACATGACTGGTGTGTGCTAAGGTTGTGGTTTATGAAGGAAAATCAGTACCGAACTCAGCTGACCCATTCTGAGAACAGTGACCTTGCCACAATACCACGTGATTAGGCAGTAAGTGTGTATTGTGCATTTGAAGTTCAAGTAACGTATTTAAGGGAGAATTGACCCTTTACTAAAGATGGTTTCTACCTAAGCAAGCTGTGTTTTTGGCAACACAGCTGCCTCAGTGGCACTGGTTACAAGGACAGCTGCTGTATTCACAGATGTCATCAACTCGGGCAGCTGGTTTTAGGTCTTAGTTTTTTTCATCTCAGACTGTGTTCATTGTCTTCCTCTTTTCACTTCTACAACGGTGGTGCTTGCAGCAGTATTTACATTGGGGAGACAAAGTGAGATTGTTGTGCAGAAACACAGTTGTACAGTTAGAGGGAATGAGGGAACATTTCTGGGTCTGGCACCTCGCATAGTAGATTAAGCCTCTGCCTGCGGCACTAGCATCCCATATGGGTGCTGGTTTGAGTCCCAGCTGCTCCACTTGTGATCCAACTCCCTGCTAATGTGCCTGGGAAAGCAGTGGAGGATGGCCCAAGTCCTTTGACCCCTGCACCCACGTGGGAGACCCAGAACAGGCTCCTGGCTCCTGGCTTCGGTCTGGCCCAGGCCCAGTCATTGTGGCCATTTTGGGAAGTGAGCAGATGGAAGACCGACCTCTCTCTGTCTCTACCTCTGTCTCTCTAACTCTTTCAAATAAATAAAATAAATCTTTATATAAAAAAAAAAGAACATTGACCACAAAGGCCCAACTTCTAGGGCAGTTTAAGGATTTACACCAAGGATTGTCTTTCACATTGTGCTTTTGTCAGCAGTGCACTCAAGGCTATCAGGCCCTAGGGTTAGGTTAGGAATTTGAGTTTTCTTTAAATGCTGTTTGGTTTGTTGATGAGATTAGAACCCCCTTCATATATCTATAAAATAGAGCCTAAAAATGTGAACATTGTTTTCCCATTAAAATGTAAGCTTCAAGAGCTCTGGGACTCTGCCCTGTGCAGACTATCCCAACTCCATGGCTCTCATTGGCTGAAATGTCTGCTGCTTGAGAGAGGGATTCCCTGCATTTCTGTAGCAGATGGGAAAGGTAGGTTCCCTTGGTGGACTCTTCCGAGAGCTCACCTGCCAACGTTGGATCTTAGCTTAGGGTGGACTCACTGGGAAGAGCCCATGAAACAACAGGTCAGTCTCTTCTAGCCAAATTCTCTCACACTGCAGAAGTTGGCACATTTTAAGTCTGCTTTGCATAAATCATTCCTGGTGTCCAGTGGCTCTGAGGGATGGGATAAAAATAAGTGTGTGATCCTGGAGAGTGGAGGCTCCACTCTTTGTCCAAGTGACCACACCAAAGTGCACAGTCCCCTCTGGGCCCAGCCTCCGAAGCCATGTAGCTGATCTTTGTCTTTTTTCTTTGATATCTTAACTCCAACAGCAGATGTCCTATAATTGGGTAGAAACCCCCACCCCTCTCTGGCTGTTTTCTTCTCTGAGAGATGAAGGGTCAGAACATGGTATCTAAAGCCTTTGATGCTGTTCAAAAACAACAGATGGGAGGCTTCAGTGGAGAATAAAAAGCCAGCGATTTAATTTAGACTGAGTCAAGACAAAGATTTCAAAGGCATCTGAAATTGATCAGCTCCAAAAGCATATGACCAATATTTCACTTTGACTTTCAAAGAACAGGTGGATTGGAAAGTTTTATGGTAAACTTGGGTTTTCTCTGAACTAACAACAGCCTAGTAACTACTCTAAAAATTAGATGAATAAATTTCTTACTAGATCTTTTTCTAGGATGCTAGTCAGGAAGACACCTCTCCACTCACCCCACCCCTGCTCTTTGCTGCAAGGAGGAGTCAGAGATTTAAAAAGGTGGGCCGGACCTGTAGCATAGCAGATTAAGCTGCTGCCTGTGGTGCCGGCTTCCCAGATAGTTGCCAGTTCCAGTCCAGGCTGCTCTACTTCTGATCCAACTCCTTGCTCATGTTCCTGGGAAAGCAGTGGAAATGTCTCGAGTGCTTGGGCCCCTGTTCCCACATAGGATACCTGGAAGAAGCTGGGCTTTGAATCAGCCCAGTTCTGGTCGTCGTAGCCATTTGGGGCGTGAACCAGCTGTTAGAAAATCTCTATTCTGCCTTTCAAACAGATAATCTTAAAAAAAAAAAATAAACAAAAAAAATCTGGTGGACCAGACTTGATCAGTTTGGCAGGTAACAAGTTACTAAATGGGGCCGGCGCCGTGGCTCACTTGGTTAATCCTCTGCCTGCGGCGCCGGCATCCCATATGGGTGCCGGGTTCTAGTCCTGGTTGCTCCTCTTCCAATCCAGCTCTCTGCTGTGGTCCAGGAGGTCAGTGGAGGAAGCCCAAGTGCTTGAGCTCCTGCACCCACATGGGAGACCAGAAGAAGCACCTGGCTCCTGGCTTCGGATCGGCGCAGTGCTGGCTGTAGTGGCCATTTAGAGAGTGAACCAATGGAAGGAAGACGTTTCTGACTCTCTCTCTCTCTCTCTCTCTCTCTCTCTCTCACTGTCTGTAACTCTGTCAAATAAATTAAAAAAAAAAAAAAGTTACCAAGTAACCACTTCTCTGACAGGCCAGTCTGCCAAGCTCCTTAAGCCTCCCTCCTCATTTTCCGATCTGGTATCTTTTTGCCTCATGTAACCATCAGCTATTTTAAAGTGGCTCCCCCCCCGCCTCCCCCGGGTAGGCATTTGGCACAGTGGTTAAGGTGCCATTTGGCAGATTGGATGGAGTGCCTGGGTTCTAGCCCTGCCCCTACTTCTGATCCAGCTCCCTACTGTGCACATCTGGGAAACAGCAGAGGATGGCTCAAGTCCTGGGGTCCTTGCCGTCGACATGGGAGGCACTTGTAGAGTTCTTGGCTTCAGATTGGCACAGTCCTGGCTGTTGCAGGCATTTAGGGAGTAAAGCATGGATGGAAGATCTTCCCCAACACCCTTACCTGAGCCACCACCCCAGTCTCCCTGCTTTTCAAATAAAATAAAAGAAATAAAAATTTAAAGTATTTTCTCCACAATTCTCCTGAGATGTCCCTCTCCTCCTCTGTGCTGCTTGTCCGTTCCTTTCCAGTTGTATTTCATTTTTAATGGTGTCAGTAATGATTATAATTTTATGTGTTTAATTTTACTTTTTTGCTGTAACTTTCTCCCGAAGTATGTGTGCAACAGTACTAGATTAAGCATTTTTCTTGCCAGGGAATTCTCAGTGCTCTCCTGTGAATACATGATTGAGCATGCAGGTAGCTGCAGAGGACTGAAGGAGATTGAAGGACCTGGTGTGATGAGGGGACTAGGACGGGGAGCAGGTGGCTGTGGCAGGACTGGTCTGTGGAAATCCTGTGGGTGGGAGCTGAACGCAGAGGAGGGAGTCAGCCATCTCCCTGTGCTCAGGACTGGCTCCTGGCGAGGGCGGCTGCCAGCCTCGTCAGGATATTTAGTCAGCATCCGTTTGCCCAGTGTGGAACTGGCACACAGGGCTCTAGTTGCCCTTACTGGGTCTTTATCCTTGGAGTACTTTGGTATTTCCTCATTGCTCTCTCACTAAGGGTTAGCATGCATGGCCGTAGATAATTCATGGTCATATACTTTCGTGAAATTATACGTGTGTGTGCACACTTCTGTATGCACATGTATATTTTTAGAAATTTTTATTGAAATATAAGATTTATTGCAAGCTTATAAATCATAAAATACTATTTTAATATTTCATAGTGTATTTTTTTAGCTCAGTGATACTTAGCTTTTTTAGTGCTAAATTGATTTCTAATTTTGTTTTAAAAAGATAAATATGTAAGCTACAACTTTTAGTTTTTACCAGTATCTTTTATTCACTTTTGTTAATAAAGTTAATTGTGCTTTTAAAAAATGTTGACTGAATGGATTGGATGGGATCAATTGGATATGCAGACATTATATAGATTTGTATATAATTTAAGCTTACCAGGAGAGGGTTTTTTTCAAAAGATTAATGAAAAATGCATATTATGAAAAAATTTACACATGGATTCCAGTCTTTTTGTGCACTAAAATGACATCTTTTTTATTTTTCAATGAACTTTTGGAAGTATGCTTACATAACATTTTAAGAACTTAAAGCAATTACGCTGATTTGTCATAGACCATAAACAAGTAGCCTATGAAGTCAGAGTTTTGTTATGTAAATGACAGATATGGCGTCTACTTCTTCATGAAAGGCAAATAAATAGAAAGGGAAATAAGTATTTTATTACATGTTAGTAGGGTTAACTTCTCTCACTAATGAGAAAAATAAAAGCTTTTACCTATAGAAGTATATATACAATTAGATACAACTGTGTCCCTATGTACACACAATTACAAACATTGAAACTTGTAAGTCATATTCTAATAACTGATCTTGTACTCTTGAGCAGTTTTGATGCACATTCAGAAGCTTTTGAACTATTTTTCCTAGTTGAATAACTTTATCATTTTCTTTGATAGCTCTTCATTAGAGATATACTTTGGGAACCACAGTTGGAAATCCTAAATAATCATCCATGATAATGTCTCAGATTTGGATCCCAGAGTTAGCGAGAGCAAACATTCTGACACACTAATTATAATTTTCAAGTAAAAAGGAAC